ATTTATCAGTAAGCTACTTAATTTATTATTATCATTTGCTGAGACTTCTATTTCCTGCAAAATGCAGATGGAAAATGACTTAAGGACCATTCTGCTTTTCATTATTGTGATTTGAATGTTTTCTTATAATAGTTCAACCAGACCACTTTGATTAGGTTTCTTTTATTTCCAATGTATCATCTTTAGCTTTTTCACATATTTTTCCTATCGTATCTTAATATTACCAAATGAATTTTCTGCATCATAATTTTTATTTATATTGATTATCTCCTTTCCTCCTATTCTTATTTTTTCTTTTTTTTTTTTTTTTATTTCCAATTCCAGATTTTACTACACTGCAGAACTAGAATTGGCTTTTACCCTGAGCTTTCCCATCTTGATCGTGGAATCGTGACTTTTTGCTTAATAGTTGATTCTTACAGTGCTTATACTTTTCATTTTTAGTCTTAATATTTTTTCCTTCCAGTAAATTGAATAACATTTTCTTCTTTCATGTGAAATAGTTTCCTGAAACAAGTGCACAGGAAGGAATCTTTTACTGGTTTATTTCCAGAAGATTTGATAGCATATCTGGTCATGCCTTAATTTACTGAGTTTGCTGTAAGCCCTGTTTATTGATTCAGGCTTTCAATTGCAGATGCATATGGGGGCTTGGGGTGGGGTTTTTTTGCTATTTTATGAGTTTTTCAAAAGCCTAATCTATAGTACGTTTTCCTAAGCTGTATGTGCCACCCTAATGTTCTTCTAATTCATGTCTGTGTTTAATGCAACAGTATTGTTGTTGTGTTCGTGTTTTATAGCTTGCCATTTCACAAAGAAAAGGGTAAAGTGCTGGATTTAACAACCATTACTAACATGCTACACTTTTGAAACTTTATAGGTTTTCAATTGATTTTTTTGACATGGACTTGCTTAGGAACAAACAGAAGATTAGTTTTATACCTTTATCTGTAGTCATACTGGATGTATTTACTGCAACAGATTGAAATACATTGTCACCAAGGAGGTGACTGGAGCACGCTTTTTGTGGTGCTTCATCCAGTTCCTACTGATACCAGTAAAAGTCTTTGCCATTGGGTTTGAGCAGGCTCTTGATTAACAGGTTTTAGTTACCATAGCTCAGCTAGAAAAGTTGTTCAGTGCTGTGAATGGAAAGCAAAATGCTTATTGCCTGCTGGCTATCTGAAGGAAGACAAGTTGTGTTTTCTTCTCATTACAGTGTCCTTATGTTTGCAGATTTATGTAACATATTTGCTTTCCTCATTCATTAAGCACCAAATGGAAACAAATTTACCAATTACCGCCAATGTCAAATCAGTTTAATACCAACATGTAAAGTTGTATTTGTCTTGCTTTTATTACCACAGTATTCGGACAAGAGACAGGCCTACATGCGAAGAGGTCTGTACCTATGCTTCAGAAACGTACTTGGTCATTTTTATTTCTCATCCTTTGTTGCCTTCAAAGCATAAATGCGCTAGAATAAAGCTAAACAGAGGTTGAAAAATGGCAATCCAGGGCATAATCTCAGTAACATATTGAAAAAAGTATTGTCACCTATCTGGTGAGCAGCATCATGGCTCTGCACGTGTCATGAAAATTGGCATTGACTTTTTCTTTGGACTGCCAGATTTATTAATATCATGTTTCCAGTGTGGTTTTTTTACCATCACGCTTGCTTATTTATATTTTTGTAGCTTTTTCTCATACATGTGCTTTCTGAATGAGTTCTCCCATGTTAGAGGTGCATGTCTTAGAATGTTGAACTATTGTGTTTGTATAGGTAAATGTAATCCTGCAAGTTTTACTGAAGTGGGCACATTTAGGTAGGGACAGCTCCGACTGCTCTCCGAGTGCTAGTTTTCCACTTGTCCTGGCATTATTTATGTAGCCACAGTCACTCTGTGCTGTCCATTTGCTCAGTTTACCTCTATGTTGCTAAGGTGTAATGCTTTTACTAAGTCTTGCACGTTGCTTTTCTTCTTATTCCATTTTCTTTCTGCTGGCTTTATAAAGCTGAAAATAATATTTTAATTGGTTATTGGCAGCCAAAGCAAGTTGAAAAATGTACACTAATTAGCTCTGGATCTTGGCTCATTCACATGAATATAGACATGTTAGTGTCCCTTACACTTATAGGGTCAATATTTCTAATTCCACACTGGATATAGTGATGGGTAGAAGTGTTGTGCTCTACTGCATAGGATACAAATCTCATTTTCCAGGAAAAAATCCCACAAAACTTTCAGCCTCTTTTTTTTTTCTTAGGCTGACACTGTGTTTATGTATTCATTAATTTAGATGTTTTACAGTTTGGGACAATAGCTTATGTTTTAATAGGCTGAAATGATGTCAGGATGAAAGTCCGTAAAAAGACATTAATAAGTTGATAATCTGTCTCAAAATGCCACATCAGTGATAAATCTTCAGTAACTATCTTAAGATGAAGAATGCCTAGAGATTGACGTGACACTGTGCTAAGTACTGACCCAACAACTAAAACCGTGAGACCAGACTGTCTGCTCAAATGTTCTGCAACACAGACTGCTTTTATTTGTACATGAGGTGGGGCATTTATGTGCCACTCCTGTGAGTCTGATACCACGGAATTAAGAAAACAGTTTATACCTGCTGAGGATGCAGTTCAACTTCTCTGGAAGAGACGAGTTGTTCTGCTTCTCTAAGTGGAAGAAAAGATTTGCAACAGCACTGAAGTTGTAGGTTTCTTTAACTTTGATATCTGGAGTGGAAGAAGCACAATCAATGATGGTTGATGGAAGCTTATGTGCAATGAGATGAGGAGCAGACTGAGTATGTTCCCTGCTGAACATTTCTGAGCAAGACCTTTTGCAGATGTGAAGGTATTTTGTGTCCTTACAGAGAGAGTTTAGATGGGTTGGAAAGACTATAGGCATCGCTTCCTGACGTTTCAGTGAAAGTCTTTCAAGTCAACTTGCATGTACCTTGTGGGTGACGCTTTGTGTAAACGTTGTCCTGCAATGTTTGCTGTGTTTGCCCAGGTCAGGTTTCTTCATGACTCAAACCCAAATATTTTAGTTATTTCTTTGTGGTGATTTATCTGTGCTAATAACAAATATTCTGTCTTTATTTTACTTCCTCATGAATTCTTGCCCTTAAGAGCCTGCTGCCTCTTGTGTTTTGAGTAACTCCCTTTAGCAAAATTCCTAGGAAAGTGACCTGATTCCTGTAAGTCCACAATTTAAGTGGACCATATATGTACCAGAGTCAATAAATAAATACACATAGCTGCACCCCAGAGTCCATAAATAAAGCTGGCTATGATAGTGGTTGTGTTTCTGAGATATATGCTTTGAAAAAGATATTTTTTGTTTTTTAGACACACTTTGGTTTTGTTCCTCCCCCCGCAACCCCTGCAGGCTCATTTAAAAAAATTAATAGAGATGTGAACTACAGGTCCTGACCATCTGTGCCCATTGACAATACCTCATACCTCTTTGGAAAGAATTAGAACTAATATCTCAAAAGATATGGCCTAATTTTAATTTGGATTACACTGTTACCAGTTGCATGGATGTAATATTGCAGATCATTTGTGACTATTGCAAATATTTAAATTTAAATTTTAAATTTACTCATCTCTTTGTTATGAGTTTTTTCTTACTTTATGTGAATTTGTTGAAATCTTAGAAATTGACATTACGGATTTGTTATGAATAAATTAAAATTGAAGTAACTTATATTAATCTTTCAAAATTGTCTTCCTTTTAATTTTTATCTAGAAAACATAATTACTCTGTAGTGGCATTGGAAAATCAGAATTGCTTTAAATAAGGTAAAAATTAGGCAGAAGATGATTAAAGAATATATATGTGAAAATGTAGTAAAAAAAAACCACATAATGAAAAGAAGAAAAAGAGGTGTGAGAAGACACTGAGAAAGAAAGAAAAAAAAAAATTGGGCAAGAGGAATATGGGCATGGAGCGTGGAAGAGCCTTACTGCAGACCTAGCATGAAAGCGAATCTGCACTAGAGCAGGATGTGCTGAAACCAGGTCAAAGACGGTCTGGTATTTGCTCTTTTTTATGAGGGTCACGGACTGATACCATGATCGCTGCCAACAGGGCTGGTTTATCAGAAGAGGTGTAACAAGGCAGCTGCTTTAACTAGATGGGCAGAGTACGTGGGAGGAGTGGTGACCGCGTGCAGGTATCGCACCAGTACCTGCTGAAGGAGGCGGTTCTGGTCCGCGGGGCACGCTCACCTTGCTGAGTGTCCGAACCCAGCGTTTCCCCAGGTTTCAAGCAGTGCCTTTGCATCTCCTCCCAAGTTCTGTAGGTGCAGTGATACCGCTGTAGAGAAAAAGCAGAGTGAGAAATGCTTCTGTAAGAAGAGCATGGGCTTTTGAAAAATGTGCTCGGTTTGTGTGTAGCTCCTGCTGTATGTGGAGAAAAATCCTTGGGTTTCAAAGAAATTAGACCTGGTGTCAGGACTTCAATCAGAATTGTGAAAACTCTGTGGCTTCTACAGACACTCCATCGTACTGGGCCCCTTTGCTTCAAACTTTACATATCTGTGGCTGAGCTAATTGCGTAAGGTTCCCATCATTGTGGAGAGAAATGGGCAGCTTTAACCTGCCTGTCCTCGTCTTCTCATTTAGACATCTAACACTGGTCACGCGAATCTGCCAAAGTACTGAGCGTTTCTTCTCATTGATTCTAAAGGAAGACTGGAGCAATGACTCAGATGTACATGTATGCAGTATAAATATCTACTTTATTCATATGCAGCCAGTCCTTCAAGATGAAGATCAGTTTTAGAAATTGCCTTAGTCTTTAGCCCAAAAGGCTGTGTGTTAAGACAGTCCCTGAAAGAATCGAGTCCTGACTACCAGTCACTTTTAAATTTTTTCCTGTCTTTTATATTCATTAATTATGTTTTTATTTAAACACTAGTAACTTTTTTTTTTACTTAAACACTAATAACAATTAATTTTTATCTACTATTTTTTTTAACCCCAGAAACTACCTCTTCAGGTTGCAGCTTGAGGATCTCTCTCTAATACAGGTATGTTTTGTATTTGTTTTCTTAGTTCCTCTGCATGATGTAGGTAAGCAGATGTTTTAAAGCAGTTAATCAACATATTCATAAGCTTCATAACTACAGATGAGTGTGCATCTGTTTTTGTCCTCTTTGTGGCCCCATATTATATAAGTCATATTATCCATTTTAATTCCAGATTAGCCTTTGTCCCAGGCCATACAGACCTGATGCTACCTTCCTCTGCTGTCATTTTGTTAGAATGAATCTATAAAAAATGGAGGCTGGGAAGGAGGATCATGTTCTCTTATAAAAATGTTTCAATTTATGATTGTGCAGCTTCTGTATTCAAAATTTATTGTTATTATAGAGAAAAGATTTTTTTTATAATGATAAATACAAAATTTCATTTATACTTGCTAAAGTTAATTTAGGCAAATGAAACGGCAAATTTTCAAGGAAGAAATATAGTGTGAACACAGGTATCAAAGTCTCAGTTTTGTATATAAGGCAGCTATCTACTGTTTAAAACTTGTTAAGACCTCGGAAGGTGAAACAAAGCCTTCTAGAGGCAGTTAGGCTTCATAGAAAGGTAAGTGAGAATCCCTGATCAACTTATTTTGCCCTGAACTTCATCTGACTTCCATATACCAGCAAACTCATCTTCCCTCAGTCTTCTGAGTGGTGTTCCTTGCTTAGGTTTTGTTGGTTTTCTCTTTTGTTATTTTTAACCTTGGCATCATTTCTAACCTTCATTATTCTCCTGTTCTTGGCTCTAAGAGGTGTTTTAGTAAATTTAATTGAGTTGGATAACTTGCTAAGGTGAAGAAATAGAAAATCACAATGAAATAGAAATGTATGTTTTTTCATAATCTTTTTATTTTTGCAATTTAAAATTAACTAGCTTTAGATTCAGTACTGTGCCTATTATTTCATTAAGTAATGCTATACAGTAGAATACGGAAAAGTAAAATGCATTCAGATAAGGCTGTCCTTGTGATTTGTAGAACACCTTGTGTATGCTTTAATTAGGCTTGCAGACTTCCCTTACCTTCCAAGACTATTAGAAACAAGATCTGAAGTTGGCTTATAATTAACCAAAATGGCAGTATTGATAAATATTCAATTTCGTTGCTAGTGCTTAAGGCTGTGACTCACCAGGCACTTTTAATATCCAGAATTCAGACTGTACTTTCACCTTATGTGACGTACTCAATATCCTGGCAAATAATTTCAGTTAAATCCTGAATGAAGGTTCTTGTTGAGAGGCTGCACTCGGAGGTCTCTGATGGTGCTGTTGTAGTTTATGCTGCTAATTCACAGATTGAAGTTCACAGCTTTCCTCTGTTAGGATAGGTATCAGTAGGCTGAAATTACTAACGAGGGAGAAATCTGTAGTTTACAGAGGTTTATAATTGTGCTGACTGACTTGAACAAAGACCCACCCCAATCAGCAAAAAAAAAAAAAAAAAAAAAAGACGGAAATCATGTTGTTGATGTGATACAAGGTTACTAGGTTTTGGGCTTATGAATGTGCAGAAGCCTTTAAACAGTCTTCTCAAGTTGACTTTTGGTAAAGTTTCTTATTCCATCTTCAATGCTGTAGCACCACTGGTTTGCCTCTGTATCTTCAAACCTTCTTCCATAACCCTTTAGGGAGACTGTATTTCTAAATCAAACCAAAGTATGTAATTTTTTTTTCTTTCACCAGCATATCTTTACTACCCCTACTCCAAGTATTCAGTTTTCCCCTTATTTTCAGATCGACTGTTATGACTCCTTCCTATTTGTCCTTCACAGATCTTCTCTTCCTCTTCTTCCCCTCTGCTTCCCTTCTGGTTCTGTTAGAGTGCCTCAGGACACCCCTTATCCGAAATATGTGTTTCCTTGGATATGCCAGTTATGGCAGCTCCAAATCAGCTGTGAGGTGGCTGGAGCCTTTGTTTTGATGCAAGTAAGCCAGGATGTAAGGTGAATTGTTTAGGACTGTCAAAACTCATTACACAACACACTCAGGTCATCTTGTACTCTGTTATGAAAGTACCAAGTTAGTCACTGATCTTGTAGTCATAAAAGTAGGTTTGGGAGAGTTCTCAAGAGGCCATTTAGTCCCTCCAGGTACCCCGGGGCAGGGGCAGGGGTCAGTGCTGCTCTCCCTACTGGTGGTTACTTGTCTGAGCTCTTCTTCCAAGTCTTCAGCCATAATAAAGATGCATGGCTTTTCTCAGCCTTTGTTGGGAAATGTTAAGACACGAAGAGAGTCTCTGTCTCACGCTGGAAAGTGTGAAAGCTTTAGTAATGAAAGAAACAGTAACCATTCCTGTGGAAACCTGGAATTCAAACTTACAAGCTACCAACCTGAAACCCACTTAGAGCCAAGAGTGTATTTACCAAATGATTCACTGAGATTTACAGACCTTTCAGATAAGTTTTGTTGGAACGACAGAATCCTAGCTGCAATCCCAGTCATCCCAACGTGTTTTATAGGATTACCTCAGGTGTAATCGAAGTAAACTTTGACTTCTGAAACTTTAGGGCATGTGATGTCTCTCTCATTCACATGGGGTGAAAGAAATATTTTGAATAGGATTAGTGGATATAAAGTTTACCACGTTAGCAATTAAAAATTACAGTATTTTGAAGTTCCAGATCTTTCAAACCTGAAACTCTATTATGGTTGAGAGAGGTAGGAATAAAAATGAGAAGCAAAGTAAAAGTTATATGAAATCCTTGCAAAACAGAATGATGGAATTTCACATGAGAAATAAAGCATAATGTGGTTTAACTCATTAATACTGTATGTGCTAGTTAGCATTTGTTTGCTGAGTGACTGAACACTTTGGCGCTTTATGTACAGACAGAAGAACTTTTCTTTTAGCATTTTTTTTCTTCACACAGTTGTCATAATAATAATGATGTAAAAACCAGGTTTAATTCTTCTACTTATGTTTCTCACTTTGACTTCTTTGTATGAACCAGCCTTTGTAAAAACATGCAGATGTTTCACAAGCTAATAAACTGTTTTCTGGTCTGGAAGAAAAAGTCACACGGTGAAGTGCTAGCTGGAAGAAGCTTTCAGTGTAGTACAATAACAATACCAAAGGGCTAGAAACAAGACAACCTATACACCTCTTGTTTAATTATTTTAGAAAATTGCTCAAGCTCTATCTTTGCTATTGTGTGTCTAAAGGAGGAGGAAAATTGCTGACTTTTCCTCATGCACAGCAGATCCTTCCAGCATGGAAGCAAGGTTGATTCGTAACAATTTGCATCTTCCTTTTCTACAGTTTTCAGTTAGACTTTTATAACCGTTTATTTTCTTTACATTGATGCTTTGATTTCTTTAGTTTGATTCATCAGTTTAATCTTTCTTCTAGTACTTTTCTATCTGGAAAATAAAGGGAATGCCTAAAACTTTATCTTGACCATTGATGCACTTCAGTTATTTTTGTGTAAACAAGTTTCCTCATCTGTCATGCTTAAGTGTCTGTTGGAATGTGTCATTAGTTTGTCCACACGCTGCTATTATGAAGATGAAAGGCTTCCTGTTCCATGTAACAAACTGGAACAGTAAGGATCATTTAGTCATAGCAAAAGCATCTTTGCAAATCTTTTGTTTACAGCTTTCTGTAGATTTTTGAAAAGACAGACATTTTATAAATTATTATTTGGGAATATTATCAGACATTGCAGTAGTATCAGGTATTGTTTTGTAATAGGAAAGCAAAAAAGAATAAAGTAAAATAATGATTGCTTGTTTGCAAACTTGTGCAAAAATTACTTCGGGCCAAAATATGTGTATGCCCTGTTTTCTACAAGTGTATGCCTGGAAAACAGTTTTGAAACCTTCCTTTAAAAAAAAAAAAACAACAAACCAGACAGCCATTTGAAATGCATGTTCTTACAAAAGAAATGCAGAACAGAGATTCATGTACTAAAAGTGTACTGTTTCCATCAGTTTAATGAAAGTTAATCCCTTGTAAAAGTGAGGGTTAGAGTGCTACTAGATTGCATCAGACGGGATGTGTATCTAAACGTGAGCTAGGACTATGCAGTGAGACATCGTTGCCCATTGTGGGTACGTCAAAGTTGTCATCCCACATGTCATGGTTCTGTGCTCTGTACTTTACAGGAAAAGCCTGTTGTTTGAGTAAGCAAGTTTCATATGATAGTGTCTGTAGCAAACCAGTATTTGGTGTGTCTCAGCAATTTCCTTTGTGTAGCAGAATAAAGAAGAATAAAACAAGTGAAAGCCTTTTAAGCTCTTGCCGGAGAAGCCTAAGAGTCAAATTGTTCAAAGCTGCCCGTTGGAACAATGCGTGCACAGCGATTACGGATTAGGAAAGCAGCACTCATTGGGCTGTGGTTGTAGAAGGACAAATATTTTATAACTCTTGCTACAGCAATAGTAGGCTCACAGACATAGAAGGCCTGACTCTGCATGATTTTGTTTTGTGAGTTTTGCTTTGCTATTGCTCGCCTCAAGTAATAGTAGAATAATCCATAAAAGCATTGGCCAAGATGAAAGCTGGATTTCCTGAAAACTCTTTGATATTCCTTAAAATACAAAAGCAGAAATCTAAATAGTAGTGTTGAAGTGAATAGATTTGTTTTCAAAAATATTTTTTAAAAAAGATGATATCTAGCCAATGTCAGGATTAATAGTGGGGCTTTGACATCATGTAGAGGATGGCTCTAACAAGTGTCTGTTTTTCACCTTTTTTTTCCTTTTTTTGTTTTTTTTCAAATTCTTTGGAAAGAGAGCTTCTAAATTCAAACATTTGTTTGTGTCTACCTACATGACAAGTTTGCTGATGTATCTGTAAAGAGTGAAAAGCTCAAACATGCTGGCTTATAAAAGTGTTTATGCCACAAATGCCATAAATATTTTTACAAGCCAGCATGTATCAGCTTTTCACAAACCTCATAGAATGTATGCATCTTTTCTTCATCCGTAAGACGAACTTCTTTACAAACTCACGTTCTTAAGGCATCTACAGGACACATGCTTGAGTTTGCCTTTCTCA